ATTCATAACATCCGGAGACATGTTGTACCATTGATTAATTGTTCTTACTGTCAGGAAATTTCTCCTTAGTTCTAAGTTGCTTCTCTCCTTGGTTAGTTTCCACCCATTGCTTCTTTTCCTACCCTCAGGTGCTTTGGAGAATAGCTTGACTCCTTCTTCTTTGTGGCAACCCCTGAGATATTGGAACACTGCTATCCTGTCACCCCAGTCCTTCTTTTCATTAAACTAGACATACCTTATATGTATAAGTATACACATATGCACTCTAAGGAAACAGCTTGATTGGATGGACATTTTTGGATAAAGGAAGGGTTACTCCTAGGATTAACCTCATTTTGTTGCATTAGCCAGCATGAGCCTTGGAGCCTTAGTATTGTCTAACTCTAAACTCTAAAGCTTAAGCCTAAATCTAAGTAGCCTTCCCTAGCCTTTATCTTTCAGGATGGAAATCTGCTTCCACCCTCTCTAGCTATCTTTCTTCTGGAAAGAGTCAGTTTGTGGCTCCTTGGGTGTGACCTAGAGGCAAACTCCCCAGGACTGCTCTGGATATCCCATTCAGGGCTTAAATTTGAACCTGGGATCTTCTGCGTGGATAACCCCTGAAGTATGTTTGAAAGCCTTCTTCCTTGGTAAACAAATAATCAAAAAACAAATAACTGGTTTCTCCCATCTATCTTCTGTTCTTGAACCAGCTACTTGTTTCCAACTTTTTTTCAATTGTTTATGTCTTCTTTCATGGCTTTGAAGTATCAACTGTCAAAAATTGATTTTGGCCCTTTTAAAGAGACTTATTTGTGATGCAATAAAGTACTTAGCTTTGAAGGAGTCAAACACTTTAGCTGGATATATGTGTGAAAATTGTGCAGTGTGCCCTGTTTCCTTAAAAGTTATCTTTATACAAATTTCTGGGTCCTTATATTTAAGGACCCAGAATCAGCATTTTTGCCATAAGTCTTTACATTCTGCAACATTTATGCGACCATTTCTGCAGTGTTTGTACTATAATAGAAGGCAAATTATTTTTATGAGACAGTGGATCAACACCTGATCTGTTATAATCAAGGATTAGTGACAGAGGGTCAGTGGCAAAAAGCCCTGATTCAGGTGTGGAGTAGGTGTGATAAACCGTTTCTCACTGTGTCAGGGCTGTGGGAATGTAAATGAGATAGTTAAGCCCTGCCAAAAAAGCAAAGGATTTTTCAGGCTGAGTTCCGCTGTCTGATTGCAATTGATCCACTCTGAATTTTCCAATTAGAGACATTTTAGGATTAGGTATATCCATCTGCAGCATGGTGAATGTGGATACCTACATTGACCAGCTGTTGGCTGAAATGCTAACACAGGAGCCACTCCAGTGATGTTCACAGCATCTTCAATGGATAATTAGAACTGCAGAAAAAAACAATTGCTACCAACCTGCCTTCCATTGAGGACCTGTATACTGCATGAGTCAAAAAGCGGGTTGTGAAAATAACTACAGACCTCTCACATCCTGGACATAAATTGTTTCAACTTCTACCCTCAAAACAACGCTTTAAGGCACTGCACACCAGAACAACTAGACACAAAGACAGTTTTTCCCCAAATGCCACACTCTGCTAAACAACTAATTCCCACGACACTGACAATAATTTACTAAGAATGTATTACTATTATTCTTTTCTTCCTTCCTAGTATCTATCTCTCCCCACTTATGACTGTAACCATATTGCTTGTATCTTTACAATTTATATTGTTTTATTTGTTTCCTAGTACGATTTGATAGCTTATTAGTAACCTTGACTATCACTAAGTGTTGTACCTTATGATTCTTGATGAATGTGTTCTATTTTTCTTTATGTACACTGAGAGCATATGCACCAAAGGGAAATTCCTTGTGTGTCTAATCATACTTGGCCAATAAATAAT